AAACTAACATCAGCATCTGAATATAAAACGAAACGGAGAGCATGATTTATTGTGCGATGTGTACAATCTACTTAAAAATATATCAGTGCAAAACTTTTAAGGAAGACTGCAATGTTACTTGCATAATTTTCTTAAAACCATTTTAAATGTACACAAAATGAATTAGAGAGAGATTTTTTGGGTTTTTTTTAACCCAATAAAATCGTTCTTCAAGTGCTTACAAACCCACAGTTGGCAGGCACCTTCTTAAAAACAGGAATTTCCCCTTCTCTCTCAAACAGGAGAGAATGCCTCTTTTAAGATGGAGCCTACTGTGAAACATGCATGGAACATGCATGCATTGTATAAAACAAAAATAGGGTGCATGTACCACTGCAATTGCCAGAGATGTTGCTGAACCCATTCTGAATTGTTTTTTTATCCTTCCCAAATGTTAACTGTGGCACTCTAAATATTTGTGGACCTAACAAATTTCACACTAGAGCTCGCTTCATGTCAGATGCATCTTTCTGAATGAATCTGATGAAGTGGACAATTGTCCACACAATCTTATGCCACAATAAATCTGTTAGTCTTTAAGATGCAACGAGGATCTTCTTTTTTCCGTGTTTCTCTCTAGTGTGTCCATAACTGAAAGAATTATCCCCTGCTTGACTTTAAAGTTTTCAAATCTCACTCGTACAATGTCGGAAAGGTACACATACTCACTTGAGATGTTCCCAGGTTTCTTCACCAAATTTCTCTATTAGAAGAGACTTCAGGCAAGTGTTGATGAATCCGTACTGGAGAGAAAGAGACAGACAGGCAAATCATCTGACTTTTGTAGTCATTTACATAGAATGACAGAGTATTTTGTGCCCTTATACCTTTCTTTTTTTAGCCTGCTACTACATAATATTGCAAAATGAGCCTTGCCAGATAAGATCAAAAGTCCTTTCAGTCTCAGTATCCTATTTCCAAAATGGCAAAGCCAGATGCCTCTGGGAAGCCCACAGTCATGAGTCCGAAGGCAACAGCCCTCTCCTTTCAGGGGCTGGTATTCAACAACATGCTCCTCTGAATTTAGAGGTTCCCCATACCTGTCATGACTTGTAGCCAATGATAAGACATTCCCCAGTGATGATGTCTCCGAATCCTATAAACTAGTGGCCATGTCTCCACATCTTGTGGCAGTGAGTTCCATAAATGAGCTGTGTGTTGTCTTGGGTCTACCATCAGTCAGTTCCATTGGCTGGCTGTCAGTTCCAGTATTAGGAGAAGGGGACCAAAAAAGCTTCTCTCTATCCACTTTCTCTACACCATGAATACGTTGTGTACATTTCTGCCATGTGCCTCCCTTCCTTTCATTAGCTGTGGTTGTCAAAGCAAGACAATAGGAAAGGATGCTTACCATAGTGTTGGTTATCTTCAACCAGGCAGGAAAATTGCTCTCTGGAGCTGATGTTATTTTGATCTACACACAGCTTACTCGCACAGCTAACCTTTAAATGCCTAGAGCCCAGCAAGCAGAGACCAGGAAGGTCCAGAGGGGATGCTACAGTCTTGGGATAATGGAAATAAATAGCTTCCCTGGAGTATATAGCTATGCTTTAAAGTGAAATCCTGATCTATTATAATGGTTCCTCAATAGCAGAGGACAAAGTCTCTAGGAAAGCAGAGATAATTATATTAAAATAAAATAAAAATGTGTCAGAGGCATGAAGCCAAATATCTCAGGCAGAATAGATTATTACTTTCATTCATTCCAAGAGCCTGTGAAGTCAAGCCTTTTTGTTTATTGGAAACACCTTTAGATTCTACTGAAGAGCAAAAGTTAAAGGTAAAGGACCCCTGGACGGTTAAGTCCAGTCAAAGGTGGCTATGGGGTGTGGCACTCATCTTGCTTCAGGCCGAGAGAGCCGCCGTTTGTCCAGAGACAGCTTTCCGGGTCATGTGGCCAGCATGACTAAACCGCTTCTGGCACAACGGGACACCATGACAGAAACCAGAGCGCACGGAAACGCCATTTACTTCCCTGCCATAGCGGTACCTATTTATCTACTTGCACTGGTGTGCTTTTGAACTGCTAGGTTAGCAGAAGCTGGGACAGGGCAATGGGAGCTCACCCCGTTGTGCGGATTCGATCCGCCACCTTCCGGTCAGCAAGCCCAAGAGGCCTCCCACTCCTGGGCGGGTGATAATGTCTCTTCTCAGCTTTTCTGCATGGGTCAAAAGAGGAGAGAGGGGTGTGTGCCCTGGATGTGTGTCCTCTCCCTATGTCCCCTCCCAAATCTGCTCTGGGAGGTTCCTCCAGCACCCCGAAGCAGATTTTTAGGTTGCATTTTGGCTGCAGAGGAGAGGAGTTGTTCCTGCTTTGTGAGTGGAATGGCAGGGTTCGATACAATCGATTGGGAGGAGTTCAGTGTTGCGCTATTACAATCATCCTGCCAACACAAACATTGCTTCTTGCCATACAGAATGACCTCCCTTCTCCTCCCTCTGTGTGTCATCCTGATGTTGTCCTGACCTACCCCCAGAGCTGTTTGGGAAGGCATGGAGGACGTGGGGGGGGGGATCCGTGTTGTGCTAGCATGAGTCGCTGTGCCAGCTCCCACTATAGCAACTATTTAGTAGAATCTAACCCATTGTCTGGGAAATATACAGTGTTTTCTTCATGGAAGAAATTCTGCTTTCATTCCCCCACCCCCACCCCACAATTATTTGGTGTGGTCTATGATTACCTTGATCATACCTTGAGCAGTGCACGGAAATGCCGTTTACCTTACCGCTGGAGCGGTACCAATTTATCTACTTGCACTTTGACGTGCTTTCAAACTGCTAGGTTGGCAGGAGCAGGGACCGAGCAACGGGAGCTCACCCCGTCGCGGAGATTCAAACCGCCGACCTTCTGATCGGCAAGTCCTAGGATCTGTGATTTAACCAAAAGCGCCACCTGCGTCCTGGAATGCAAAGCATAGACCCTCATTTTAAAAGCGAAAAGGGAGAGAAGTCTTCTCTCAAAGTGTTAGAAGGCCACCAGTATTTTAAGAATAGAAGAAAACCAGATGGTGTTATTTTATATGATACAGAATCCTATGTCCAGCTATGTGCACTGCTACACTTGGGAATAGCCTTAAGAGACCCGGCATGCATGACGCTGATGTTTTAGACTTGGAGGGATTTGATAACATGTTTGAATGGCATGCCTATCTATGGTATGACAAGGTAAAGGCCCATAATGGTTTTAAAAATCATGTAATTAGAAAATCCTTATATAATGTTTGGATAAAATACAAAGATCTCTTAGAGAGGAAAACACACAGATGGCTTTCGCCAATGGAGGCAAAGGCCCAGAAAAAGTTAAATATGGAAACCAAGTGGTTGAGATACTCTTATCTGTTACTGGAAGATAAAGAAGGATATAAATTAAAACCATTTGATCAAATTAAAGATAAAATAAATTGGCTATATTACATTACCATCAGATTAATGAATTGTGAAAATTAGATAAGAAAAATGGTTTTGTTTTAGAAAAAACTAAGTTGGAAACAGAGTCTAAAGTTAAAAATTTGTCTAAAATGTGTAATTTATTGTTGGAATGGCATACAAAGGATGAACAAGTTAAATCTGTGACGATAGACTGGGCAAGAGATGTGGGACATAACATAATGTTTGAAGATTGGGAGAGGTTATGGAGGAAAGGGGTCAAGTTCACTGCATGTACGGTGTTAAAGAAAAATATTATGAAAATGATGTATAGATGGTACTTAACTCCTGAAAAATTGGCAAAGATATATCATAATAGTGATAATTTATGTTGTAAATGTAAAGAAAAAGAAGGTACCTTTTATCGTATGTGGTGGACCTGCCCCAAGGTGAAAGACTTCTGGGAGAAGATTTATAATGAATTGAAAAAAATGTTGAAATATACATTTATTAAGAAACCAGAGGCCTTTCTTCTTGGAATAACAGGTTTGGAATTGCCCAAGAAAGATGTTAGACTGTTTTTGTATGCCTCAACTGCAGCTAGAATTTTGTTAGCTAAGAATTGGAAAACACAAGAAGTCCCAACAGTGGAAGAATGGCAGATGAAGATGATGGACTTTTCAGAGCTAGCCGACCTGACTAGAAGAGTCCGTGAACAGAAGGAGGAGGACTGCCAGGAGGAATGGATGAAATTCAAAGACTATTTCGTTAAACATGTTAAGATAACTTAATTGGAAAAACTTGCAAATACCAGATAGGCTTAGGATTTATATATGAAATGTTAGAGAATAGCGTGTTTAAAGTTAAAAGGAAAAAAAGAAAGAAAGATGTTAAGTGATTAAGTTAATTTTATAAGAAAATTGGTTTTGGAAAACTGTTACAATGATATACACTGAAATTCAGCCAGGGGGATTGGAGGAAGTCACTTAACAATGTTACTAAGATTGGATTAAGTACAATTAAGACGTATGTATGTATGTTTGTTTAAAAATTGAAGGGGGGAAAAAAGACCTGACATGCAAGTCTCCTCAGGGTTACATAAACACATCTCGTTACAACATCTGGGAAGTGTGGACATCAGGTTGTTTTGTGGGGCAACAATTTTAGTTAAATTATTGCCCCAAATGGGGGATTGTTACAAGAATTTTAAGGTCTCAATCATAGAATAAATATTCATAAATGCACACTTAGCTAAATATATAAACCAATGTTACGTTTTAAACCATCAGATTAAGAAGTATGGTAAAGGACCTAAGACCTATCTACAACCTTTGTAGATGTTACAGCAGTGTTTGGTAGGATAAATCATGAAAAGTTGTGGTTAAAACTTTGGAACTAAAACACAGAGTGTCAGTTATTTACACTTATTAGGATATTATACTTTGAAATATGTGTGAGAGTGAGAGTAGGTGTAAACTGTCGGTTGTCAGCTCCAATTCCAAAAACAACAAAATGTATGACAAGGCTGCTTATGAGTTCCCCTGCTGTTTAAGATTAATGTAAATGACGTCATACTGGAACTAAAACAACCAGAATACAAAAGTTGTAGAATGCTTTATTTCATTTTAGTGTAACACAGCACAGTATTATCACTACTTCCTTTTGTTCTGTTAGTTATTTTGCTTCCTACTGTAGCTTTGTGGATTTACACTGTGCCACTGTGGTCCCATTTCAGTTTTTGCCCATTGCCTGTGAATACTAGTGCATCATCTGTGATCCTCAGCCATGATTCAGGCGAAAATTTTCATTGCCTTTTCATCTGCTGGTGGTCTTCTTTGACTACCAGGCTGCAGATATTTCTTCACTGTCGGGATGTTGCTTATTCTCTCTTTAAAGGCCTAAGAGAGAGCAAAATATTTTAGAAGAGAAAAGGAGAAATGGTGGCATCCCCAAATAATCATTTGCCGCTTACCAGTTACTATGCTTTCATAGTCAATAATGAAACTCCAAGTGATAAACTTTATATGTACTCAAACTTTGTACATACGCTAAACCCAATTATTTCAGGCATGCACCTTTGGAAAGGGAGATCTACATTCGAGCTCCATTGCAGGTCTATAATCATAGGTAGGTTACCTGTTTGTGTCTAAATTTAATTCACAGAAGGCTTATCCATGAATGTGGGCCTCCTGTGTGATTTAGACTTTGTGCAATAGAAATCCAGAGACAATGGTGTTTTAGATATGCAAAGAATAAAAGTGCCATTCTAGAACTTTGCTTATGCTTCAGTAAGCTTGCTTACCTTTAAAAGAGGGAATTTGGAGAGAATATCAGCCTTCAGCTCTTCTGCCATTAAAATGGTTTCAAGCAATTGAATATCTGCTCTGCTGAGCTGATTTCCTACCAGGTAATTTTGTCCATGATCTTTGAGGACCTATAGAGCAGGAAACGTTTGAAGAGTACTTCAGGTACATACACAAAATGGAGAATCTATATCTGAACCACTTTTGAATATCATGCTCCCAGATTATATTGTATCAGGAGATCGAGAGTATTTGTATCAGTTCTGATTCATGTCTTCTAACAAACAGCTGGCTAAGAAAGAGAAGCTTGATCATGACATTCCCTCTTCCCAAACCACTGCTTGTCATGTTTCAATGAGGCAGGGCAGATTCTGAGATCAGAGTTCACATGGTAAACGAACACTGTGTGTGATTCCTGATCTTCTCTCACACAACTAATTTTTTGTTTTACTTTTTTTATTTTTAGCTCAGAAGCTTGGAAAATACAAGCAATAAGGAAATGATTTCTGATGAGCCAAGCAGTCCTATCAACATTAAAAGGTAAAGGTAAAGGTACCCCTGCCCGTACGGGCCAGTCTTGCCAGACTCTAGGGTTGTGCGCTCATCTCACTCTATAGGCCGGGAGCCAGCGCTGTCCGCAGACACTTCTGGGTCACGTGGCCAGCGTGACAAGCTGCATCTGGCGAGCCAGCACAGCACACGGAACGCCGTTTACCTTCCCGCTGGTAAGCGGTCCCTATTTATCTACTTGCACTGGCATGCTTTCGAACTGCTAGGTTGGCAGGCGCTGGGACCGAACTACGGGAGCGCACCCCGCCGCGGGGATTCGAACCGCCGACCATGCGATTGGCAAGTCCTAGGCGCTGAGGTTTTACCCACAGCGCCACCCGCGTCCCTATTAACATTACCAGCTGCCAACTCCAGCTGAGCATAGGTGACTTTGTTCTGTTAAAAGGTTTGTAAGTTTCCTTCGCCCCATACCTTTTCAAAGACTGGGAAGTATCTGGTGGTGGCTTTTTCAATAACGTTTGCAAACTCCTTCTCCTTGCTGTCAGCTGGCTTGAAGTGAAGCATCTTTTTCAATTCATTCAGATCCATAGCACCTTCGCAATACATATCAATCCTATTTGAAAGAGAAAGTGTTTCCTCCTCCCATACTCAGATAATAATAAGAAAAACAGTAGTGGTTGTATAAGATTATGGATTAAGAATAATATGGAAAAGGAAATTAGTAATTTGGAAAGAAAGGAAATTAGTAATTTGAACAGGTTAATTTTATTAGAAAGTGGATATTGGAAAATTGCTAAAATGAGATTTAATGAAAATCAGTTAGGAAGGATTTGAGGAAGTCTCTCAATAATGGAATGTAAGTTTTGAATGTATGTTTGTTTTTGTTTTTTGTATGTTTTTTGTTTTGTTATTTTGTGTTGTGTAAAATTTGGAAAATTTAATAAAATAATTTGAAACAAGAAAAACAGTAGTGGTAGCAGCAGCAACAGCAATAGTACTAATTATGATAATGCAGAGCCAAAACCTTGTGGGGGAATTGGGCAGTAATGTCACAGGCAAAAATGTGTGATGACCCAGCAGAAAAACAAGTACAATGATTCTGTATGTTGGAGAAAGGGCATTTTCCCTGGAAAGAGCCTCTCTCTATGCAACAAAAGCCCCTAAGATTTGCTTGCCAGTATAGTGATCTTCACCAGCTACACCTTTTATAAGGAAAGCCTTATATCAAAAATCAATTTTATACATTCTCAAGAACCCCCCCCCCAAACCAAACATTGGGAAGGGACAATGACCTCCCAATCTCCTATTGGGATTACATGAAAATTCATTGATTTACAAAGAACCAGTCCACATGAACTTTGCTGGGACTGGGAGGTCAAATTACCTCATACTGGACCCTTTCTTGCCCAAGATGAAACATGCTGACTCATAACTCGTCAGTAGATCATATGACAGACCAAATATGATCTTATATCATGTACAGCCAACCAAAGTATGCATTTAGTAACCAAACGCAGAGGAATTTTACAGTGCTCTCTGCTTCACGTCCTTCCCATAGAGATTGTATTTGGCGGCAATGTAGTTGAGAATAGCTCGGGTCTGCACCATCTTCATCCCATCCATTTCCACCATGGGCACTTGCTGAAAGAGCAGGTCTCCACCTTGTGAAAGGAAGATGAAAAATCAGTCCATCCTCCCAGGTAATTACTATGGAAAGTAAATTTTCAGGAGCATCTCACAAGCCATGCTTTGATTTTGAGCCTTTACTTTTACATTGTGCCTTTGTGATAATCATGTTTGCCTCTGCTTTTCCCTCAAAACCCTTTTGCAGAACATGTGCTAAATTAGTACAGCAATCAACCATTGGAAACTAGTTTTGTATGTTATTTAAGCTACTGCTGTTCTCCAGCTAAAAGACAAGCAAACCATTCTGCACACTGCAGAGTTGAGGGGTATGTGTTGTGGGTATCTGGATAACTCTCTTTTCTTTCAAAGAAGAGGGAGGAAAGCAATATAACCAGATCACAACTGTGTATTGACACATATTCCTGCCTGAAAGTGTGCACAATGCAGAACTGGAGAAACAAGTCCACTTTGAAAACCCCTGCTATTAAGACTATAAGGCTTTACTGTACTAGAAGACAGTCCCACTGATACTCAGATAACATACTCACCATGCTTTAATTTTTCTAGATCTTCTTTGGTCTCAATTAATTGTTCTTCAAACTAAAAAATAAAAGAGGCATAATATTTCAAGGGTCTCATGAAATAATTTCAGGCTCCAAAAATGACACAGGGCCTTTCAAGTTTTCAAACTACTGGATAAAATTTGATGAAAACTCCCCTTTCCCAGCCGAATTCCGGGCCAGCCCACCCAATAATTTTCTCTGTCTGGGACAGAACAACAAATATTTCCCATGCACAAATCAAGTACTACAGGCTAGTCATATCATTTTAGCACTTGAAGCAGTAAATCCCACAATGACCGCTCCCCACATTAAATGGGGGGTGCTCTTTGCATGGTCATGTGAAGCCCCCTGGACCCTATGTGGCACCATTAGCACAGGCTTGGCTTGGCCTTCCCCAGGTGGGACACCTGGAGGTCTCCGCCTACCTCAGCCAGTTGCTGAGGGACCACCTGCCCATACAATAGGGGAGGATCTTACCTGGGAATCGTCAGTTGGCTCCAGAGCTTCTCCCACCCTACCCACCCTTAGTTAAGACTTCTTTTGCAGGTTAACCTTTTCTCCACAGGTATGTGGGCGCTGCTGCATCAAGGTTGCTGTTGAAGCGCCGGAAAGGAGTTCTCCTGCATTGGCAGGTATGCCTTTCCCATAGCAAAACGTCACAACTTTGGTGGTATCAGGCCTTGGGCGGAATCCTTTAGTCTATCTTTGCTAAATGGGGGGGGGCGTGCAGCAGTGACTCATGCCCCCCTTCTCTTTGTGGCGGTGATACCAGGGTTCCCCGTTAAAGGGGTTGTTTGAGGGGAGGCTTCGGCCGTACGACTGGAGGTTGTCATTGCTTTCCTTGCGACAGCGGTGTAACAGGGGCAGGCTCTTTCTGCTTGAACATACGTTCTCCAGAGCCAGCCCACCCCCCCCCACTGGATAACCCTGATGTTCCCCAGATCCCTGGTGGGGGACTGAGAGGGATAAACATCCAATGCCTGAGCCAAGGTCTACCCACATCTGAAACATAATAAAGTTGTGGCCGATTTTAATCCCATAGCACGTTGTCTTGAGTCGTTATTCCACACGGGGGCCGCCCAGGGTTTGAGGGACTCCGCCTGTCCACACAATTATGTCTCCTCCCCCCCCCTCCTTAGCAGCAAAAGTACAATAATAATGAATGACGATAACTCATCAATTAGCTGCCCCTTCCAGGATAGATAAAATCCCCCGCCTGAAGCAGGCACCTCACTCACAAATGATAATGCTGGGCCCAAATTTGGAAACTGCCTGAAATATAAGAATGCTGGAAAAACAACAGTTCCCTTGATTCTTTTTTGGGGGGTGGGCGAAAGGTGCTTTGTCAGAGAAACCAACCTCGACTCCTGCTGCAGCCAAGAGCCACCTTATGCTTTCCATTCGGCCTCTTCCATTGAAGTAGTAAAGCTTAGGTTTCCCAGCCATGTTCCTAAGTGTTTGCTTTCCTGTTATGATGAGAGACAGAGAGAGAGATTGAGAGGTCATGTTTGATAGGGAAACCACTGGAGAGCAGGACAACTGTTCAAAATGCTCTGTTGATTGTTTACAGCAAGGAAGTATTTCATAGTAAAGCCTTCTGGTTTATTTTTTAACAAACGCTTTTTCATAATCATGGAGCACAAGCAGATAAAATAGGAAGCAAGAGTTAAAAAACACCCAACTATCTATGACAGGGGTCAGCAAACGTTTTCGGCAGGGGGCCTGTCCCCTGTCCCACAGACCTTGTGGGGGCCGGACTATATTTTGGAGAGAAAAAAATGAAAGAATTCCTATGCTCCACAAATAACCCAGAGATGCATTTTAAATAAAAGCACACATTCTACTCATGTAGAAACACCAGGCAGGCCCCACAAAAAACCCAGAGATGCATTTTAAATAAAAGGACACATTCTACTCATGTAAAAACATGCTGATTCCCAGACCATCCGTGGGCTGGATTTAGAAGGCAATTGGGCCGGATCCGGGCCCCGGGCCTTAGTTTGCCTACCCATGATCTATGAATATCACCCCCTCATGGACAGCCACGGTCCATGATGTTCCCAGAGCCACAAAATTGTAACTTCCCCCTCGTACTTGCACCATTGCCATTGCCATCAGCTGCCTCTCATCTCCTCAGGCAAGTTTGGGCACATGGCTTTCCAGCATGGCCAGCCGCCAGGGATGATGGGACTTTGTAGTGATGAATCACATCTGAAGCACCACCTCTTTGACTGGCTGGCTAAACCAGGTAAGGATAGCTGGTGGGTCTCAAACCCATGTGAGTTAGGCACCTCCCCTCTACAGGCTCTGGCAGGTTGAGGGATGAGACGAATGGTGGGTCCAAGGGTCAAGAAGGCGGTTTCTGCACATGCTGTAGAGGGAAGTGAGGGGCAGGTGGGGCTCATCAATCTGGGAAGGTAACCCATCTAGGAGGAGGTAGCTTCTGACCCTCTGACCCACATTGCCTTGTGGGATATCCTAGGAAGAAGAAAAGGCCAAGGAGTAAACCCTAAGCAAGTCCAAAGTGGAGTCCCTAAGACAGTTGGATGGCATCTACACCCTCCTCAACCCTGGATAACCACACCCATTTTCTACATTCCTTTCAATAATATATGCATTTATATGCACATTTTACCTCACCATATGTGTTTTTGCACATTGTTTGGCTGGAGAACTGCAGTCAAATTTCAAGGGATAGCTATGTTTTTGGAAAATGAAATTTAGTGAGTTACTATTTTAAAAATTGAAATATACGGTACTCAGAGTCACAATGTGATTTCATGCTCTTTATTCAGCTCATAGTGGTGAGGAGGAATGGAAGTCCCCTCAAAGTATCTGCTTTATATACATTATTTACACAATGGGCTGCACATGATTGGCTAATTCTGGACTTCTCCTGTACGCCAATCAGGTTGCGGATTCACTTCTATCTGGAGCTGGATTGGGTGGCTCCTGCTGATCAATCATACTGCTGCATTCTGAATCCCATTGTTCTAGGACCAATCAGACTGCTGCATTTTGGATCCTATTGTTCTAGGACCAATCAGACTGCTGCAGTTTGGATCCTATTCAACTCAGTACATAACAAAAATGAATCTAATTTCTCTCCCATTCTTACCCAAGATTTCTTTTTTCTCTGAGGTGCAACAAAGAGCAATCCCATATTATTTTTAGAACTCTGCCCACTGCCCAGCTCCTGCCTTTGGTCTGTCCAAAGGAAAATGTCTCTGTTCTGAGGATTACAGTATCCCCCCTCCCCAACCCACAAACCTTTAGTACTCTGCAGGTAAGAAGAAGAAAACCTTTGGGCAGAGGTGAGGTCTTTGGAAATTGTCCCTGCACTACTCCTCTGTCCAGGGTGTTGCTCTTGAGCAATGACTCTCCATCTACCTTAGAATACTAACCTGCTGCAAGTCCTGAACAAGTGGAAGTTCTTCTCAAGCGAGCCCCGTACTTGTGTGGCTCAGGGTTATAAAAGCTCAGAAGCTCCACCTTCCGAGAGAACAGCTTATCTGTAGCAGAAACTCCCTATTGCAAATAAAAAAACACTTACTCTGCCTTTCGTGAGACTTTTCACCTACAACAATTCAGTCACTCAAAGTTAATTCACAATGCGAAAGGTTGTCTCACGCTTGCGTAACATGATGCAACTCAGTTTATTGTATATCTGTACAGCTGCACTGAGGGCAAACATTCCTGGTCTTAGTACTGTATATTCAACTGAAACCTTTGTATAACTGGGCAGGAGGCCACTGCAGTCTCTGGTTGCAGCTGCTAGCCACAAAATACAGAAAAAGGTCAACTACACAGGGCTTCCCTGTTGGTCCCACCCACCTTTTGGCGGGGGTTGGGGCGACTAGATCACAACAATTAAAGGTATGCAAAACTGGATTTCTACAGGCAATCCAGAAATTATTCTTGATTTGTTATGTAAGATACCTGATCCGGATGATCAAGTGAAAATCACATATTTGTTGTCTGGCTTTGACAAATTTGTGACAGTTGCAGTTGCTGCCATAAAACTGAGAAGAACGCTCCTTGAGTATAGCATGGTAGACTGGTAAAGAACTGCTGCTATGGCTGGTCAGTCTAATTGCTGTAGAAGGCTATGAAAACAGGTCATTTTCTGGCAGGGAGTACGTTAATAGGATATATTTTGCTTGCCTCTAATCCAGCAGACCACACAGATCCCGTCACATCTACGCAAAGCACAACAGGAACTAGTCATGACAGAACAGACATGTTATTGACAGCTCAAGCAAAACATGGCACTGAAGTACAAACGCTGTAGAATGCTTTATTTCATTTTATTGTACCATCACACAGTATTATCATCTCCTTTTGTGGATTTACACAGTGCCATTATGGTGATCCTCTACTCAGTAGCATTTGAACTCTGGAATGCACCAGAGAGGTGGTGGAACTCAGTTCCAGTGAGTTCCAGCTGAAAAAAAATCCTTGCACAATATCAAAGTTTGTTGGCTCTAGCAATTTCATTCTTTGACTGTTGGCCGTGCTGGCTGTGGCTGATGGGAGCTGTAGTCCAAAACCCCTGGAAGGTTTCATACCAGGTTTGGGAAAGGTTGCATTAGACTAATATCTAAAGGAGGCCTCAGAATCTTCACAAAAGAGTTCTCATCTACTACATTTTTCAAGAGTTTGCAGTCAAAAGCATTTGAGACTATGGAACCAAGAGGAAATACTATTTTACGGATTTAGGCTCCAATCCTATACCTACATTTACCCAGAAGTAAGCTACGCTGAATTCAAATGGAACTAATGCTGAATAGACATGAATAGGACTACACTGTTAATCCTCCAACTAGTAAAAGAGAAGTCACACAGATTTGTTAAAATCATGCCAGTATTTGTAGTGATCATCATAGCAGATGTTCTCAGATGTTGAAAATCTTCCTGATCTCTTGAAGAGCCTTGTTGTCTAATTCAAATTTCCTCTGGCTGCCTGGCTCCAAGAATTTCTTAATTGTGGAGATGTTGCTTACCCTTGCCTTGAAGTCCTAGATTGAAAAGCAAGAAGCACTTCTAAGAAAAAGGTACCAACATAGATGGACTTACAAAAAAATGCAGTTCACATATGGGAGAAGAAGACCGGCCTGGCCAGGAGTGTAGGAAGGGGGAGGGAGGGAGCGTTCTGCCCCAGGTGCCACTCTGGCAGGGGTGACAAAATGGCCCCTGCCTCCCCTCAGCTGTAGAGCGGCAGAGGGCGTGTGCCATCCATATGGGCTGCCGCTCTCGTGCGCTGTCCGTACGGGATACCGCTTGTGTGGCAGCCCGTATGGTTGCCGTGGGCGAGTGGCAGCCCATATGGACTGCGCATGTGCGGCATTCCATAAGGAGTGCACACGCACAAGATGCCACACATGCACAGGCTGTACAGGCTGTGCCACCCCAGGTGCCAGAGAGGGTTCCTCCACCCCTGGGCCTGGCCCCATCTATTGGCTTCAAATGTTTGCTTTCCTCTTCCCTCCCCATTCCTTTTTCCTTTTGTATCATGTGTATCATTGCAAGCTTGGGGGCAAGGGCCATTTTTACTTTCAATATGTGTGCAGTGCTTTGTGTGCATGTGTTGAAGATTATGTCATTCCAAGCAGTTATTTTATCATAGGATAAAAGTTTAAAATCACAAAGTTTTTAAATGCTCATTTGATGGAGGAATTTTGAAAAGCAATCTATCTGTTCATTAATAAGCAGTACCTTGTTTATCAAGCATTCAAAAACCATACAGAAAAAATTAAGCCCATGAGTCTAAATTAATGAAGTAGTGCAGTATGTGTTAATAAAAAGTTTTTTAAAAACGAAACCCATAAATACTACACGGGGTTATTAGTTATGTGTGTGTGTGGGGGTCTCAATTTGTTCCCTTCCCTATTTATTTCAGATTCATAAAATAAATTTGGGTAAAGGGCTGGTTTGATTATAATAGAAATCCCATTCCTTCAAACTGTGGGATGTGAAACACAAGAGCAGTAAAGTACAACATTCCTAGAGTGAACATGTTTACACATGGGGAGGAACGTTTGTCCAGCCAGCAGGTAAACTTCCTGTTTCCTTCTGGGCTGGGACAGACTTCCTCTGCATGTGACTTGAAGTGGGTGTGGCCTCACCTGTGCAGGTAACAACAAAAGCACAGGGCAGGGCAGCCATCTCCCTCTCTTTTTGACTACATGCATCAAAGAAGCAACATCTGCTTAGCCAAAGATGCTCTCTTGGCTCCAGCCAAGAGAGGACAAAGGTACTGTCTTCTTATGAGATAGTTTCCAGGTATATGTTACTTTTCTACAGTAAGCTAAGTCTGCCTTCTGGGATCCTATTTTGAACAGAATGATGTGTGAGTAAACCTTTTTATACTTTTATAGGAGACTGTGTCGTGTCTTATCTTTTATGAGGGAATGAGGGGGAAATACCAGAACAGTTTTTATAGAGGCTTTAGCGAGCCTGAGCAAACACATCTGCTGCAAGTGTAAAAAGGGGAATGTTACTCTGCTAAATTGTGAACTTGTTAACACAAGTTGGAAAGGCTATCATCAGACAATATAGCCTCTCCTACATCCCTGAACATTCCCACACAAACAAATAAAGATTCTGACTGATTAATGAACACAGTAACAATAATTTTCACATTCAATCACCTATGGGAAGGAGAAGATCTGTGGTCCTATTGTCCCATGGTCCTCAAGCCGCATGTGAAATCTGAACTTTCTCTATAGTCTTTCTACAAGGCCCTCTCCAACTCTATGATCTCGTGAGCCTTTTTCAGTCAGGTTGTCTTAGCATCAGCGTCAAACTGAGGCAATTCTAGCCAGGAGATGAAGCACTTTTATCATCAAGCAAAGTAGATGCAGAAGTCTAGATGCCTGCTCCACAGAAACTTCCAGATGCCTGACATAAGACATATCCCCCAGATAGCCACTTGAACTTGCTCTCATACACCACCATAATCACCAACATCGGGATTATGACATGCTAAGTGCGGCACACTCCTATGACTGAAGTTTATCCAGTTGCTGTATTTGCACTCTGTGAATACACACAGTCTTACAGTTTACGTTCCATCTCATTTCTCAGAACATGTCCTAGTTCACTCACTTGCAGCAGAGGAAAGGCAGAAAGAACATCAGGCTTCATCTCTTCGACCATCAGAATAGCTTCAAGCAGATGGACATCTGCCCAGCTGAACTTCCCACCAACAAGGAAATCTTGTCCATGATCTTTTAAAACCTGTGTCATACAAAGAAATAGAAGTCATTGTTGAGGGTTTGTAGACCCCTGGCTCAGACTGGGCAACAGAGGCTCCTTGTGGATTATTTCTGCTTCTTTTGTGTTTCAGACATGTAAGGCTGAGAGGCAGGCAGGGACTGTCCCATGAGAGTAGCCACTTGGCTTTTTCGTTCAAATATACATTTTACACACCTGCATGTATCCCACTGCATAACACCGAAAGGCCCTCATTGCTGTGATCCTCTGCTCAGTAGCATTGGAACTTGACATCTGGGGTGGAAAAACAAATATTTGCTGGACTCCAACTCCCATCAGCCCTAGCCAACATGGCCAATGGTCAGGAATTAGGAGAGTTGTAAAAAAGGTAAATGTAAAGGACTCCTGGCAGTTAAGTCCAGTCGCAGACGACTCTGGGGTTGCGGCGAGAGTTGTACTACCCCCAAAAAATGTTGGTGGACTTGTAGGTTCACTATTCCATATTTAAGTGCTTCCGCAGAATTTTGCTGCTGCTATGGATGGTTCTCCCCATACACCTTCAGCAGTCAAGATCTAGCTGCACATTCTACGTTGCTACCTGACAAGCCCTTACCTTTTCATAAACTGGGAAGTATCTGGTTGTGGCCTTCTCAAAAATTAGGCTGGTCTGCTCTTCTTTGTTCTCAGGGGGCTGGAAAGGGAGGGTCATTATCATCCCCATCAGATCAGTTGTTCCTTCCACGTACATGTCAATCCTGAAAGAAGCCATTAGCACAGTTACTTTCAGGGTTTGTTTTCTTAGTTTCTCTTATTTCTTTTCCTTTTTGCTTTATTATTATTACTATTATTTTATTTTTTCCAAAGTTTCAATACATATACGCATATTCTACATATTTTCTCCATCTATTCCTATTAGACTTCCTACCCCCCCCGATGTTGGGAAAGATTATTGAGGACACAAGGAGAAGGGGACGACAGAGGATGAGATGGTTGGACAGTGTTCTCGAAGCTACCAGCATGAGTTTGACTAAACTGTGGGAGGCAGTGGAAGACAGGAGTGCCTGGCGTGGTCTGGTCCATGGGGTCACGAAGAGTCGGACATGACTAAATGACTAAACAACAACAACAATAACCCCCCCCCCCCCGTGGCTTCCCATTTTCCCATTTTAACGCTGCATATCCTCAGACAAGAAATTACCACCCAATTATTATCCTGAAAGTACAGGTCAATCTAAATATAATTAGAGCATGTCATAATTACACAGAAATAAGAGAATAATTAATACTGTATTATAAATAACATATGCAATGTCTTTCCAT